TGTATGGCATTGGAAGCTTTTGGTTCGAGATGGAATTAAATGCTTTCAAGTTGGTGAAATGAAATATTTTGATTCTTGTTATTTGGGAGAATTCAAATGCCCCCTTTTAAGATTGATTTGTTAAATGTTTGGAGATGTTTCAGAGCCCAATTCTGCGGGCTGAATTGATTGCAATAAAAAAAAAGAGGAAGAAGAAAAAAAAGAAAAAAAGAAACAGAGAAAGGAAAATCTTTTGATATTTGAGAAAGGTTTGAGAATAGCTTGGAGGTCTCTAAATTGTGCATTTTTGTGCATTTTGGAAATTGTGCATTTTGGGGTTATTCCTGGCTAGCATCGGGGAGTGTGCCCATCTCATTGCTCATTCGAGGAGTTTCATCGGGTGAATGCTTTAGGCTAACTCTCCTACCGCTTTGGCTTTTCTTTCCTAAATTGATTTTGGAGGTGAGTTAGCCTTCCTTCTTTTTTCCATTTCTTGCTTTTTGGTTCACTTTCCTTGCTTCTTGATTTGGGTTTTAGATGTTTATGTCCGATACATAAGTGGGCGTATATAACCCTGACTATATATGAAACCATCAAGCAAGGTTGTGAGTGGACGATCGTTTTTGGATATTAGGCCTTGATGATAAAGACATTCAGTGGTAGAGCGGAATAATGTTTCATCCTACGACATCGGGACCCAATCCACGGACCCAATCCAGGGACCCGATGAAGTGTAGGATGACAATACTATTCACCGACACCAGGCTAGCAGGGCACCCTTGCCTTCTTAGGTTATTGGTGGTCCCGGCCCGATGGTTCGATCGACTCGTGGACAATCATATTTATATAAAAATCATAAGAACATATATGATAAGAACATATATGCAATTTTTAAAAATATTTTGACTACCAAAATTGACACTACTTTTCTTGTATGCATGAAGCCTATACGCATGCTAAAATATACATTTTAAACAATATAATTCGATTGTCCACTTGTCAATCGTCGGTATTGGGCTAAGGAGAGCCCTGCTAAGGAGTGCCCTCCTAAATTGGTATAGTAGGACAACTTTCTAGTTGAATTTCGGACTCTATATATACGGGTGACCGATAGTTGCCTTCGAAGTCCCTCGAGAATACCTAATTCTGAGCCTAGCCCGACCCGAATGCTTACGGCTTTCCTTCTTTCTTTGAATTTTTTTTATGTGGTTTCCTATGGTTTTATCGAAATCAAATTTTTTATGTGTTTTCCTACGGCTTTCTCGAAATCTTTGTAAAGCACTTGTGATTTCTTTTCTTCGAATTTTCTTCGTGTATTCAACGATTTTCTTTCTCGGATTACTGTGGATCTTCTACCGCTTTTTCTCAAGTCTTTTCAAGAGCTGGAAGTAGGGTATACAGGTTTGTTTTACGTTTACAACGTTTACTTTTGTTATTGCGCACTTTACCACGTATACACATAATTCATACCTGCAATACTATTGTTTACTGCATTTCATAGCATGTTCCCTTTTATAACTCATGTTGTTTCTACAGACTTGCAGGAGACTTTTAGGTTAGAGGCCAGTAGGACACCCGGTTTAGGAGGGTCCTCGTAGCGAGCCATTGACCCAATAACTATACATTTACACACCACAACACTGAACTTATAATACATCTGCTAAGGAGCTTAGAGTAGTCTTTCCAAGAAGCAGAGCGTGGAAGCAAGCGGACTGAGGGCGCCGATCGAGACCACGACGACGAGGTGTAGGATGTCTCTTTAGAGTTAAGGTCCAATCATAAGATAGTTGGGAAGCCACCGGGGTTCTCCCTTAATTTGTGACATCCCCTACTTTCATTCCGTCGACTCCTGAAAATAACTGTTCATATTTTGAGCCTTCCCCCCTCTAATTTTCTCATATTTTATTTTGGGAAACCTAAACTTTGCAATCTTGAAGGCAAAATCACTGATTTTAATCGAGAGTATTCTTAAGTGATTTCGGTCATTTAAGATGTAATTAACTATAGGGGTTTGCCTCTATAGAGAACTTAAGAACTTAGTTTAAAATAAACCCTATTTATTATCCTGTATTAAATAGGGGAACTTGTCGGCTTACAAAAAGGTTTCGCAGACCAAACGAATGTCACAAATCTTTTAGTTTAGGTGGCTAAGCCTGCCAAGAAGTTGTATGTATATCCTTAGGAATAGTGTACTGCCCAGTCATCTAAAGTATCAAATATGTAAGGTCCGCTCGGCCTCACTTTTCAAAATTAAAATATAATTTTCTAAAAACTAAAATCATACCTCATCTATCTAAATTAAATCACAAATTCAAACGACGATCATTCGAAGGATAAAACGACCGACAGAGGGGTTGGTGGAATAGTAGGAGACACTGAAGGTGTATAGTGGCAGCGGCAAGAAAGGCTGAAGGAACTTGTGGCAGTAACAGGCGAGAGATAAGGTTGTTGGTGGGGAAGGGAAGTGGAAAAGTGTGTTAGGCAAGATTAAAGCTAGTAGGGAATTAATGATGGCAGCTGGAAGTAGGGAAGCTGTAGGGGAATAGTTGATGATAGAGAGAAGGGATGCAAGAGCAGCGACAACAAGCAGAAAAAGAGAGGATACAAACCACCTTGGGACGAGTTACAACTAGAGCACATTCTCACCATCGAATACAACCCCAGAAAGTGAAAACGGGACGTCGAAGACTGTAAAATCTCAGCAAAACTGAACCCTAAACAGCCAAAACAACATATATATACTAATAGATAACAAGGAGGGGGGAAGCCCCTCCATTTGGGCGAGAAATCCAGGCCAGTCCAAACAACAACAAGGCTGAACTGGTTCTGCACTCTTCAGCCAGTTCAGCCCTCCAGAGCCCTGCATCAATTTTTTTCCTTCCTATCTTTTTTCCACTTCTCTTGACTGATTTCCTACAGATAGCCAAATCCAAAATATAAAATCAAGTTCGCAGCTTCTGGCACTATACCGTCTATCACTAAAGTGATATTGAACGAAAAAGTGCACCAGTTCGTGCCAAACGCCAAAACAAAAGCGTAAGAAAATGAATGTCTCAAATATCGTGAAAGAGAGGTTCCTACCATTTGATTTCTCCTTAGAACACTTAAATGCTGCTTACGGTTCCCTACAGGTCCAGTGGCTTGCCCTGCTATTCAGTCGAGCAAATTCGAGAGATGGGGGAGAAAGAATAGGAGAATGCGACATTTAAGTTACTCCCATTAAATCTGCATCGCTTGATAGATCCGACTGACACATGCGCAACTAAGTGCGAAGAAACTCGGCTTTGAATGGCAAAGATGTGGGATTAAGGGAAATTAGGATTAATTAAAGTTAATTAAACTTATAATTTTATAATTTTATATCTTCTCATCCATTTAAAATTCATGAATAGTGTTATATATCAAATTGCTGATTCAATGCGTAGATTTTTTTTTTTTTAATTTCTTTGGTCAAATTTTGAGGAATGTGAAATTTGGAGTATATACCTTAAAATTGTTTTGGTAAAATTTTGAGGAATATGAAATTTAGGATATATACCTTAAAATTGTTTTTTAAATTGCTTTGGTAAAATTTTGAGGAATGTGAAATTTGGATATATACCTTGAAATTGTCAAAATTGGGTGTTACAGTTATGCAGCTTAAATGTTTGAAAAGCAATCAAGCGCTTCTAATCAAATGGCAAAATGCTTTATGTACAACCAAGTTTGACACCAATCTAGGGTTCTAGGTGTGAGAAGATAAAGGAGGTGAATTAGGAGAGTTCTAAGATGAGAGATAAATGGAGAAACTATGGTGACAGCTGAAATTGGCACAACCAGCTACTGCACAACAGGCTAGATGCGGAAACAACAAGTCGGAAACAAGGGTTGGCGGCGCAAGGGGTATTTGGATGTCCGAGAGAGTTCTCCACCCAGATCCCATCAGGTTATAGAAACACCACCTTAGAGAGATCACATGATAGTACTCCAGCAAGGGAAAACTAGACAAAGCTATCTTTTATGTATAAACCAAATAAAAGTGTAGAAATCACATTTAACAACATAATTAACCCTACTAGCAACATAAATAAAGTAGCAAATATGCCTTATAAGACTGGCCAGCTCAAGGGATTAAGAATTTCCCGAGCCGACCAGGAAACAACCAGTCTGGACCGGTTATGGGAAGGAGGCAGACGTCCACATCAAAGTTAGGTTTAGCTTTGGTTCTTCTAAGTTGTCTTAAACAGAACATCTGAACCAAACGCAGCCAACCCAGTCTATAAAGCTCCAAATCTGAAAAGTACCAAAATCAAATGAAGCTGATCTGCTTGACTCTGTTGGTTTGGGTTTTCAATTCGAGTGCATTTTTATAGCCTGTTACAGGGCAAGTTCCAATTGTTATACAATGCTTGTTATCAGTCAAGTGCATATATTAGGTCATCCCATGGCCAAAGGTTCCATTCAAACTGAAAAAGGTAAATTATTACAGATTTTGAGCGTATTAGAAAAGACAACTAATCTTACTAAAAATACAAATCAAGTTGGTATCTATGGATCAGCCATCAACATACACCAAGCACTTCGTTTTTTAAAATTCATGATGTTTCAGAACCTACAGTTGTCATTCGGGCAAATTTGGCACAAGATTTGAATGCAGCAACAGAAGACCTTAAACAAAGCAGACAGTAAGGCAAATCAAAGAATCCAATATTGAAAAGTGTGGAACTGCGCAGGAACTTTCTTAGAGGAAAAACTCTAATTTTCTCATTAAACTAAAACAAAAAAATAACAAATATATCCGGCTCAGACTAAACCTCATACAATTGGAGGGAAATTCAAATCAACATGATAAGGAAAGAAATAAAAACAAATTAATGGATAATTAAAGGAGAATAATTTCTCCCCGTTAAATGTAGCAACAGACCCACTGTTTCCTAAACTGTGGGTGGGCCCATGTGATCCACTCTTATACATATATCAACAAAAACTATAAATCAAAACATAATTTTTTGTGAGATACCACAAATTCATCTAAAGCTTACCTAAGGGATCCTACTTTCAGAAATAGTAATATCTTCATCCATTGGATTTCCCTTCTCTTGTTGAAGATGACCTGGTCAATATAAAAAGTCAACTAAGAACCTGGATAACGTTAGATAACCTATCCCCTAATCAAATATATTAATAAAACCTTAACAGGATAAGAGAAAATTTGGCCTACTTACCGAGAAAAGCAGAAGCAATCTAAATCAATGTTTTGTACTTAAAGCATACCGTGTAGACCAAATACAGACCCTCAAATAAATTCTCATAAATTTGTTTAGATAAGCATGAATAAAAGGGGTAGCAAAGAATGCAGTTATAACTTTTAACATCAAACAATATTATCAAATTGAATGAAAAATACATTTCCAAATTTAGCGTAAAAGTTATATTTTTTTTTTCCAAACAATAAATGGAAAAACCAAGATATAACTCTACATCCGAGAATCTTAAAGCGGAGAAATTGTGCGGAAAAGAAATTAGCATCAACATCAAGAAGAAACGACAATAAAAATAATAAGAATTCCTAATACAATTGTTCAAGCATTAGAAAATCTAGCCATCCTATGCGTGAAAGTAATAATTTGGGATACTTGGGGATAATTTTACCATTAGTGAATGCGACAAACTTTTGTGTCCTTTCTCCCTTGTCAAAAACTTCAATAAAACCAGCTGCAAATCATGCCTAAGCTACCAGGAATTCAAGGTTTAGAAAGCACATTTTGATTTGTAAGTGTTTCGTAAGTGCGTAATCACCTTCCGAACATATACTTGGCACACTTATCAGAATTTTCCATAATTTTTTTAGTGTATAACCATTAAACACTAACTTTAAATGTCCTAGCTGTTGAAGTTCATTTTCTTTTAAATCTTTCAAGAGCTTTTTATAGATGCAAGTGTTGGGTAAAAAAAAAATTACTGTAACGAGATATTTCTGACAATGAGTGGCAATCTTTGAAAGAAAAGTGTGCATAATCATTGTAGATAGGCTATGGGAGTAGGCCCTTTGGAGGCCACGGTTGTAGAAAATAACCTAGATTGATTTGCGAATGTGAAAGGTAATAAAAAGATGAACTACAAAGACAAATAAA